AAATATATCTACGCTTCTTGAAAAGCGTCAGAAGTGATTTAAGCATAAAGGACTATGGGGAGAAAACTGTTATTGTTCTGGATAAATTAAAAAATATGAATACTGTACCCTCGACAACAGTTCCAAAGAAGCCGCAAACCAACAAAGGTAATTCGTCCTTTATACGGAAGTTTAGAGGGTTCAGATCTAGGCTCTAGGATATGATGGATATTCACAAGCATCAGTTGAGAGTTTTATAATGCCTTCATAAAGCGAGAAACATTAGGGGTATACTGGCAGTCTTGCAAAGTCCTTGCACGGTGCACGGATTGCACGGCATAAAACTTATTATTTATTATTAAATTTATTATATTTTTATTAAATTTTTGTTTTGCTTATTTTTTGTAGGCATTGTTCATTTTAGTTAACTTAGAAATTTCTTTTTATTTTTTTATCAAATTAAATTTTTTTATTTCGTTGTACTTATTTTATTATTTTTTTCCTTTAAACAAGACTTGGATCACCCTTTGCATATGCATTCACATACACAGATAACAATTGAAAGAGCAATGGGTGTATTCTGACGCATTTTTTCCTTTTTTTAGTTTAATTTTTTTGTTTTTGGAATTCATGTAAAGTTTGCTTGGTGGGGTTTCCTGTGTGGGGTTAGTAGGGTGGTCCCAAAACTGTATAGTCGGAATTGTAATGCTCTCACCCCCTAGGATTGTTCTATATCGAAAAAAGTATACACCTATTTTTTTATTTTGAAATCAAAAAATATTTATAGGTCTCTCAGAGCGCTCAAAGTTTTCCATGTATTTTTACATGGAAAAAAACAACTTTTCGTAGAAATGGTATAGAATTCTTGAAAATCAATATTTTTCGATCGGAAAACTCTAGTTCTCTTCAGGAGACTTTCAATAATAATACCCAATTGTTTATTTAACCATATTTTAAATACTAACGATTTTTTATTGCCCCCCCCCCCCCACTGCATTTTTCGGGGTTTTTGGCGGACCTATGAATTATAGTTGCGATAAAAAAATTGTTATATAAAAATTTTAGTATTATTATTGGAAATCTCCTGCAAATAGGCAGAGTTTTCGAATAGAAAAATATTGATTTTTAAGAATTCTATACCATTTCTACGAAAAGTTGTTTTTCCCCCATATAAAATACATGGAAAAACTTTGGGCGCCTTGAGCGACCTCTAAATATTTTTTTCGGTATAGAACAATCCTAAGGGGCGAGAGCATAAAAATTCCGACTTTACTATTTCACATGCATTTTTGGACCACCCCAGTGCTTAGCCATTGAAATAGTATGCAAGATAGGAGTGGTGACATCGACAACTAGAAGAGGTATGCCATATGGTCAATCGACTATCAGTAAAGAGGTAATCTGTAAGCAAAAAACACAACCGACTTCAATGCTAATAAATATAAAAATTTGGGGTACCGTTAATTTCCCCCAAACATTCGTCTTTTTTTGAAGTCGGTTAATAAATGGTAACAAACTTCCTTGAAAGCGCAACTCACTCATATGAAACAAAATATTTAACATATTGCAAGGCAGCAATAAGAACAAATATCTGCATTTCAATAAATATTTTAGGTAGTTGTGTGGGGCCCTTACAACAATCAACTGTACATACATACGAGTACTACTCGTATGCGCATACTCGTACAATTACAAAAATATATTTAAATGCCGCCAGGTGAATTTTTTTACGACTCCTTATCTGTTCGTCCTTTTTTGAGAAGACGGCAAAAGTAAGAGCCAGCAGCAGCTGTTTCTCGACGGAATGCGCGACGACCGGACTCATTATTGGAACATCAGTCTATCTGTCTGCATACATAGCGGCCTGTTGGTGGTTTCGACTGCGCATGCGCGCGCATTAAAATAGCCACACATATTCGTGCATGTGCATATGTACGTTGCTTGCGTATGAGTGCACTTATGTATGCACGTCCCTTTGCATTTTTGTAGCACTTTTCAACTCTGTGTTACCCTTATGCCAGCGACGACCACACCTTTTGTTGCCTTTTTCAATTGCGAGTCAATTGAAATGCGTATCTTTCGGTTTCCTCTTCTCTTGTCTTGCCTTGTACTGCGTTTACATATACATATTGACTTCAAGTGTTCATAGTTGTACTTTTTTTGCGGAAAATTTGCAGCTGCTGTTTTTCGAAACTTTTAAATGTTTGAGTTTTTTTTTTTGGTGCTGCACACATGCATAAGTGTATCCTTATCTTATAAATACATACACATAAATACATGTATTTATTGATTATGTGCCGCACATAGTTTCTTTGAGTATCATGCTGATATTTGCAGCCACTGTATGCAGTTTTTTTTTGGCAATTTTAGTCATGTGGTACATTCTCGCTTTCTGATCAAGCGATCGAACACTGGAAGATTCTTTTTTTTTTTTTTGTTTTCAGAATTGAAGATCCCTAATGAAATTTTCTGCGGTTGTAGTTTTTTTTCAGTTTTAAGAGTGATTAAGTATGTATTTTTTGTGGTAAGGCAAACAATTTTTCTGGTTTTGTGGTCAATTAAATTGAATGCGTGATTAACTTTACATACACAGCGTCTCACCTAATTTACATTTACAATTCCAATTTAAATGAAAGTAAGGGAACATTTTATTTTTTATTGGGGCGTAGATATTCTTGTTTTCGTACGAATCGAAAATCATGAAATTTTGCTATCACGAAAACAAGAATACGCCTCATTGTAAAATACTCGGCTCCACACAGATTCTGATCTGATTGTAAAGTTCTGAGGCGACCTAGTACATACCGTAGGCATGAATGTGTAAATTTATTAAAAACAATTGGGGTATTCACAACAGTGTCGTAAGTGTCGTATTGTTGTATGTAGTAAACTTTAAACGCCTAAAAAATATATTAAGGGGGTTCGCAAAGTACCGTCAAAGTAATATTATGAATTTTCGCAGTGTTAAAAAATTGTTGGTTGTGGTTTGAAGTTCTCTAGACATTTATTTAAGCTTTTAAAGTTTACGACATATAACAATACGACACTTACGACACCGTTGTGAAGCCCTCAAATATAATTTGTATATATCAAATGAAAAGCATTCACTGCTGAAGTTACTTTTTTCATAAAATCTTGAAACTAGATTTTAACGTATAGTGCATACAATATCGACACTCCTTTTTATGAACTAACCAATTTTAGGTTGGGTGGAAGCGGCTGCCCTCATACAAAACTTGGGTGCTCGCTGTGATACTGTTTTGTCTCTTTGCTGGTGACATAAGCTCACCTACTCAATTTACTTATAAATGTTTCTAAGCTCAATGTTTCAAGCTGCACTGTAAGTTTTGTAAAGGACATGGTACACTGAATGGGATGGGATGAAAAAAAAAATTTCCATCGATAACTTAAATTTGTGACACACAATGGCTAGAGGCGTCGCCTGAGTGCATTCTTTCATATATTTATGTATGTGCCAGTTTTACGGTTATATATTTTTTTTCTACTCGTTTATTCCATGTTGTCTTCATGCTTTATTTAAATTTAAAAAATTAAATTACTATACCGTTTTAAAAATCTGAAAATTCACTGCGGGAAATTTTTTATTCTCTTTTTGTCTTTGCCTTCTCGTTTTTGCCTTTATAAGTTTTGAAAAAAGGTTTTGAATGAACCATTATATCACATTCCTAGCCAAGTTTTGAAAGAATATTTTCGATACTAAATTTTATTAAAACAAAATGTTGAAATCAGCTTCATATAGAAACGTTCTTAAATATCATAACTTTACGACACTAACATATTGACTAGATTTGACCATTTATTTTATTATATTTTAATTTGAATTATTTGTTTATAAAAATATAGTTTATTCCTTAACAAAGACTAAATGAAAGTAAGTTTAATCTTTGAACAACATTAAAAAAAAATCGGCAAACTTTCGTAAAAATTTCGAACTTTCTATTTCAATTTTATCTCTTAATATTTTTCAGTTTTTTAGCTCATTCAATTTTAGTCTAATAAAGTGCAAATTTAAAGTAGCTGTGATTTACAGTTGATGTATGGCATATTTTTGGACGATGTCGGTAATTTTCTTCCATATTATCTAAGTATGTTCGACGATTTTTTTAATGAAGAAAATGAGCAACGCCTTCGTCAAAAAAAAAAACTAAAAATCAACGATTAGTCGCAGCTATGTATTTTAAACTTGCGCTTTATTTGAATTGATCGGGCTACAAAACTGCATACTAAAATATGTATTTCTTGGAAATCTAATTAAAAAGCTTTACGAATGTTCGTTGATTTTTTAATGTTGCGCAAAAATTAAACTTTGGATTTATACGGGTTTTGTTAAAGTGTAAACTAAATTTTTATAAACAAATAATTAAAATTATATAATTTTAAGATAAATGGCGAATCTAGTTTACATGTATAAAGTTTTGATAAGCACATGAAATGTCAAGTTTTAGTACTGAATGATGTCTCTTTTATCCATTCATAATAACTTAAAAAAATTTGTTTGTTAAGAAGTGTATCTTAAAATATCTGCCTTGACATTTATGTTAAAAGTGTAAAATATGTAAATGTACCTACATAAACTTTCCCGTGAATACCATCAAATCATTATTTTCAAGTGGAATTTCCAATGAAGGACAACTTTTTTAATAAAAATTGCAGAGAGCCTGTCCTCGTCTATTTGCGAAGAGGGTTGGAGGGATAGCGAAACTTCCGGAAAGAAAGAAGCAATTGACGAAGTTCTTTTCGTTCTAAGTCAAACCCGATAAATATCTGTAGAACCAAGTCAGAACAACATAAATTCTTTACTGATAGGTAATTTCTAATTAGTCAAGAAAATCAAAAATGTTTTCATAGCTCTTATCACATGACACATTTCTTCGCTAATCACTGCGTCATTTTACAAGTACTAACGCCTGACATATGTATTTACATATTTAGTTTTGATTATCTTAGCGTTAAAAATTTCGTAAGTCCCAAAATATCAGCTTATCATTTCGAGTGCTTACCTGTTTTCGAGAATTCGGCTCTTATTAAAGAAATTCACTTCCGTCGGAAGTCAATAAGGTGCTTTTTATTTGATAAGAAAACACTTGATGCGCTCCAATTAATCGCGTAGAGTGGAACACAATAGTTGTATGACGTCGTCAATAGCTGGCGATTGTCGAAGGTTTCGCTCTTTTCTCGTGTTTTTTTTTGTTTTTGTTTTTATTTTTATTTTTTTTTTTGTTTTTTGAACGATCAGTGACGATCGGGAAACAACTGCCGGCGGCCACTAGTTTTCATGGCCAGCGAAAATTTGTCACTAGCGGAAGGGCGCACGTATGCGTATGTATGTATGTATTGTGCGCGCGCGCGTGTGTGAGAGTGATTTGATCGAGCTTCCGCTGTGACTATGCGATTTGTGCGCGACTTGCAAATTGCCAATGATTTCTGTGACGTTTTTTTTTTTTTGCTTTGATTTATATTTTATGCTGCTGGTTGTTTTCTGAGTCGCGTAGCGGGGGTGTGGACGTTCTGCAATTTGTTTTTAATCCTTCTCAGGTTTATTGTTTACAATTTTGTGGCGTTTTTGCTGCCGCAGTCGCTTCCTGTTTGTTTACTGTTGCTATTTTATTAATTGCACGCGCCAATTTTTTGTCAATTTCCTGGCAAGTTTTTATTTCGATTTTAATGACCACGCACTAATTTGTGTCTGGCTAATAAATTTTCTTTTTTCTCTATTTTCTACTTGCTCCACGATTTCAGGTTCATGCTCGTACATGGATTTGAAATTTTTTTTTACACTACTTTTATGCGCTTTATAATTTTTGTTTTTACTTTTATGCTTTTTTGACACTAATGATGTTGCTGACGCTGCACCGATGACGACGCGGTTATGTGCTGTTTAACTCAAGATTTAGCAAGCTCTTGTAGTAATATTTCTCAAATTATTCTCCTTGTTGTTGTTAATGTTGCCCGCTACGGCTGACTCTTGCTTCGTGAATGCGCGGACAGAGAGCGCAACCAGGCCAAACTGACGAAAACACGCGCGTCGCTGCGATTTTGACTTCGTCGATGTAGCGCGGGGAGTGGAGTAGGAGGGACGCGCAAAGTTGTTGGCGCGCCGCGTCGTTCGCTTGTAGCTTGCGCTTTGAAGTACTTTTTGAAAATTTCGAAAGTTTTTGCTGCCACTATTATTAGCAAACGTGCGCACTGCTTACCACTTACCGCCTGCCGATTAACGTTTACCGCGCGCTCGTTTAGCTAACCATTGGCTGGCCGCTGTGCAATATGTTGCGTTATTCTTGCTGCTTGACTTCTTTAATTGAATTATCTTTAATTTTTTCGCTGCAAAATTAGTTGCTGTTATTGTTGCTTTTGTAAGTGTAACGTTGTTCACTATTCGTGAAATAAATTTTACTAAATTCTGGTTTATCTTTTTTACTCTTTTCAGCACTTTTCCAAATAATTACTTTCATGGAATTCGTGTTTTCAAAACTCATCACTTTTCTAACACAACATATTTTCAAATCTCTTTGTATTTGTATTTTACTCGTCGCTTTTATGCGCGTAGTGCACGTAAACTCGCTTTTCGATAGATATTCTTTAATAATTCTTTTGCCGGTTGTTATCCGCGTCTGTTCGTGCCTTGCGTACGTACGCGCGTAACTCACTTCAACAAATGCGGTCTGGTTGTGTGCGCGCTGCTAGTTTTGTTGTTCGATGCGGCGCGCTGCTATTTTGGTTTGATCGTTGCATTCGGCTCGATTCGACATTTACTCGGCCGGCCGGTTAAAATATGTTCGAGGCAGCATTAGTCGACGTGCTGTGTACCCTACGTAGAAAACCCGAAAATGATTGAATAAATTCATAGCAGATTTCCTTTCTGAGAAGATTAAACGACATAGCACGCGGTCGCTATGTAGATTTTATGGGATCAAGCACAAATTAAGCGCTCTCTCTGATCGTCACGGCTTTAGAGCCATGCAGGGGTCGGGCGCAATGCTAGACATATGGGAACAGTGCCCGAAGTTGAGAATAGAAAAATACTTATTATTCAAAGAATAGTAGATGTGAGATTCTGGTCGGTAAGAATAGCATCCGAGGATTCTACCAGAAAGATAAATTCAGAAGGTTTCCAAACCTACGCGAATCCCTTTAGGAGCCAGAGCGGGGAACTGTGGACAGATATGTATGTAGAACTCACTTGAATAATGCAGTTGTCACTCACTTACCCTAAAACAATCCAGTGACGGAAACCATTGATATGACGATGCCGGATTGCCCGATGGAGGATAACAGAATCGAAGCTGCTGTACATATGTATGAAAGTGTTTTGTGAATGACTAAAGCCCACAATCAGCAAACTGATCGGACCTTTTCAGTGAGACTGTAAACGTAATAAACCATAGGTCATAAACCAAGTAAAAGTAAGAATAAACGACACAACCATCTCTTTGACAAGTTGGCAGTGCGAAAGATGCTTCCTATTTTACGCGCGGTCTGAGGTCGTCTCTAGAAGTGACCATCGCCGATCAGGCGGCCCTCAAGTATTATGGAGAAAAATTGTGCAAAGGCTTCATTGGTCTTTACGCATCTATGGTGGTGAGTTATGGAGGTGACGGAACAATGTCCTATATGAGCTTTTCATTGTCGGAACAAACATAAAACAACGCGTGCGGAAAATATGCGGTCCATCGTGTTGTTTTCGTGTTTTCTTTCATTTGTTTTTAATAATTTATGTATTTAGAATAAAAAAAATGTTGGCTGTTAAAGAAACCAAATGTTTATCTTTTAACAAATCGCGGCCAAAAGCCTCATACCTGACCGTTGCAAACGCGGCGCAGAAGTACAAAAAGTGTTCAGCCGTCTAATCTTCTTTAAGGCAAGAAGTACAAATGGGGTTGTCATGTCTGTCGATCATAGTCAGGTGCTTGTGCCAAGAGATGGGACCAGTCAGCAAATCCACAAGTTGTCTATAATCCCATATAAGTATTCAATACAAAACCAGCTAGATTCAAATCATTGCTGAGTGAAATATTCTGCTATCGGTGACTTCGAAGGCCGGTAACTATAACTGGTTACGGACCAAAGAATACCCATCCGAGACCTCTCTTAAAGCTTAGCAGACGGCAACGTTGATCCGGATTAACGGCGCAATTGATCTGATCAAAATTGTGGCTTGGCAGACGGCAGTAATGCGGATTTACGAGCCGCGAGGTCGTAGGTTCGAGTCCAACGGCCAGAAGAATATTAATTAAATGTTTGTTTATTCATTCAATTATAACTTCTATATTTTTTTTATTGTTTTTAGTTGGTTGTCTTTGACTTTTTTAGTAAAATTAAGCTCTAAAAATTTAAATTAACTAATAGCAAAATAAAAAATGTAAAATAAAATAAAACAAACGAAAATAAAATAAATTAAATATATTAATCAAATAAAAATTTAAAAAAAAAATAATTAACAATAAAAACAAAATTTCTTTGGCAATCGCTCCAACCAAGGATCGAATTTGGGACCTGCAGGCTTGTAGTACGCAGCCCCCACAACTCGGCTACCGCGGATAAAGCAGTTGTCTGTTTAGTTTGCGTGTTTGTTTGCTCAGAGAGCGTAAAACACAAAGAAAATTCAAAACTAGCATGCACATTCACTTGTCGTCACAGTATTAATTCAAATAAGTTCTTATTCAATTTCAATTGGATTCCTATCTGAATTAGTATGGTGACTGCATTACCGATGAAAAGGTATGTGTCCATGCTAGTTTTACACTTTCTCTGTAGTCTACGCTCTCTGAGTTTTGGTCAGTGCTGTCATTGAATTTTCCCTTGATCCGAGTTAAGTTTGGGAATTAACTCTAGGACTTAATCCGGACCAACTGCAGTTAGTTCCCGAGATAATTCCTAATTAACGATTCTCATTTTCGTTGTTGGTGTTTCCGGCAGGGTAGGAGTGTGATGTAATGGCTCCAAACCAAATTTGACAAGGGATGACGGAAAATCGTTCCACATTACATCCTAATTAACGAATTTATCCGTATCAACGCTGCCGTCTGTTTATGCTTTTACCAAAATATCAAATTTCACATTACCAGGTGCTTACTCCTGAGTGATCTGACATCCAAAGTAAAAAAATTGTTGTGTTTTCCAAAATAATTTGGCCGATACTTGCATTACCGAACCAGTCTGAAAATAGCTAGATGGCTGCCAAATACCTCGACTGCACTATAGACACATAAAGGCATAAGTCACTATTTTCAAGCACATCGCCCATGGCCGTGTGGATTGCAAAACACCTAGGAATGGAATACCGTGGCATATTCCCTAAGGGGGAGTAACTCCAGATCCTCGACTTTTCTTAGCTTTGGAGCCATTAATAAAGACTCACAAAACTGTAAGCCTAAGCTCAATATTGGAGTTAAGACGCACTTAACCTCAGGGAGCATAATTTTGTAGTATATCTTCTCTGCGGCGTAGGAAAGACATTTAGGCCTAGATCTATGTCTCTACCGTAGGCTTAGCAGTGCATCCGGAGTTGCTCTAGGTGTTATAAGAGAAGCCCCTAAGCTAATTAAATACTGTGACAAGAAATACTGCTGGAAGAGGGGTGACCCATTCGTAAACGCCGGCTACTGCTGTATCAATGAACTGTTTGGTCCTTATCCTCCTTTAGACCTAGTAACTAGAAAGAGGAATAAACTGTGTTTAGCTTGGTCAAAAACGTTAAATATGTACATCAAAAGGTTGCATGTTTTACTAGCCTTGCCTCTACGACATTCTGGGATGGCGCTAGCCTCTCATAGGCACCTTCATTATTAGACGTATAGAAAATGTAGGTGCCAGCCCTCCTATCATAATTAAATATTTAATTATTCGTTGTGATCGTCATGAGATCTGGGGGCTATCAGCCGATTTCATTTCCGTTTCCATTTCAAGTTCGTTTTTATGAGGCGGCTCCCAAACGCGGCGCACAAGCAGATCTGGGATATATATTTCTTTAGTGTACACGTACATATGTACATATTCATATGCTCGTAACAAGCCACTTGTTCCATGACAGTCGCTTTGCATGCAGTTGCACCTCGTGGTGGACAAAAGAAGCTGCAGACCGTTAAAGAAATAACGTCGGAGGTTTCTCGCTACCTTTCTGGCGTGACCCAAATTTTCGCACTAAATGGTCACCATATTTCTCACAAGCGTTGCAAGAGCAGTATAGTCGTGTAACTGCCTTGCCTGAAGTCCCACTTTATCCCATTGCGCATACTATTTTCATTTTTACAACTAATGATATACGGAAGTAATTTCTCTATTTCACTCTTGGCACAGCCTACATACGAATACAACGCACTTCCTTAGATATTTAAAAATTTTCAGTTTACACAAAATTTCAATTAATCATTAGGACTTTGCGTCTGCTGCCTGTGCCCATAATTACTAATACTGATGTATGTATTTATGTATGTGGGTATAATGCTTTCAGCACTACTCAACTCGCCTAACTAATTACTTACTTACTCACTAGTGAGCGTTGGGACTTAGTGACAAATTTCAATAGGGCCTTTTAGGAAAGTGAATCCGGCTCAAACGAATTCGTAGAGTTTTTAATCTCTCGTACATAGATATTTACATATGTATGTATGGCCTGCAACAGTGCAATTTAAGAAACATTAAATAATTAGAAAATTATGGGTAATTTGTGTGATTGGTTTGCTGCGCACGTATCGAGCAAGGAGAAAGTAAAAGAAGTAAGAGCAGCGCTGTCTTCGGCTATGCCGAAGGCTTCATACCTTTCATGAACATCTGCAAATTTTACTTTGACAGATTACTGCTTTTGAATACATCTGCATACATCGATAGAGGAGTTACATACTTATATAAAAAA